AGAGGGAATGGCAGCCTCTCCTATCTACAGACACCAGTCCAGGGTAAGTCCTGTATTCGACAGAGGTTCCAGTCGGCACCAGTCTAGCTCCCGACAGAGGGAATGGTAGCCTCTCCCACCAGACACCAGTCCAGGGTAACTCCTGTATTCGACAGGGGGTCCAGACGGCACCAGTCTAACTCCCGACAGAGGGAATGGCAGCCTCTCACACCAGAACCCAGTCCAGGCGAACTCCTGTATTCGACAGGGGTTCCAGTCGGCACCAGTTTAGCTCTCGACAGAGGGAATGGCAGTCTCTCCTATCTACAGACACCAGTCCAGGCGAACTCCTGTATTCGACAGGGGTTCCAGTCGGCACCAGGCCAGCTCCCGACAGAGGGAATGGCAGCCTCTCCTATCTACAGACACCAGTCCAGGGTAACTTCTGTATTCGACAGGGGTTCCAGTCGGAACCGGTCTAGCTCTGGACAGAGGGAATGGCAGCCTCTCACACCTGACACCAGTCCAGGGTAACTCCTGTATTCGACAGAGGTTCCAGACGGCACCAGTCTAGCTCCCGACAGAGGAAATGGCAGCCTCTCATATCTACAGACACCAGTCCAGGGTAACTCCTGTATTCGACAGAGGTTCCAGACGGAACCAGTCTAGCTCCCGACAGAGGGAATGGCAGCCTTCTTACGTACTACATCTGTGTATGGTACACCAGCTGCACAGTGGCTCAGAGGAAAGCGCTGCAAAGGTCATCAACACGGCCCAAAAAATCGACGGGTGCTCTCTCCCCACATTGGAAGAACTACACAATTCCCGTTGCATCGAAAAAGCGAAGAACATTATAAAGGACTCTTCTCACCCTGCACACTCTCTGTTTGAGCTGTTGCCATCAGACAGACGATTCAGATCAGACAAAACAAGGACAAACAGATTCAAACACAGCTTTAATCCTACAGCAATTACCACACTCAATACTGCTAATTATTTATTAAGTAATACTGTTTACAATTGACTGTAAAATAGGGATGTGCAATGATAAAATGTACTTTTATGTGGGTATGTGGGTATACTTGGGTAGTTTTTACATGTGATATTTATTGATTATCTTTTATTTTATCTTATTTTTATTTCTTGTTTTATTTATGTAAATTCAAGAATGATGTACTGACTGGTGAGCACTTTAATTTCGTTGTACTGTTGACAATGACAATAAAGGATCTATCTAGCCTCTCACACCAGACACCAGTCCAGGGTAACTCCTGTATTCGACGGGGGTTCCAGTCGGCACCAGTCCAGCTCCCGACAGAGGAAATGGCAGCCTCTCACACCAGACACCAGTCCAGGGTAACTCCTGCATTCGACAGGGGTTCCAGACGGAACCAGTCCAGCTCGCGACAGAGGGAATGGCAGCCTCTCACACCAGACACCAGTCCAATATAACTCCTGTATTCGACCGAGGTTCCAGACGGAACCAGTCCAGCTCCCGACACAGGGAATGGCAGCCTCTCACACCAGAACCCAGTCCAGGGTAACTCCTGTATTCGACAGGGGTTCCAGATGGCACCAGTCAGGCTCCCGACAGAGGGAATGGCAGCCTCTCACACCAGACACCAGTCCAGGGGAACTCCTGTATTCGACAGGGGTTCCAGACGTCACCGGTCTATCTCCCGACAGAGGGAATGTCAGCCTCTCACACCAGACACCAGTCCAGGGTAGCTCCTGTATTCGACAAGGGTTCCAGTCGGCACCGGTCTAGCTCCAGACAGAGGGAATGGCAGCCTCTCCTATCAACAGACACCAGTCCAGGGTAACTCCTGTATTCGACAGGGGTTCCAGACAGAACCAGTCCAGCTCCCGACAGAGGAAATGGCAGCCTCTCACACCAGACACCAGTCTAGGGTAACTCCTGTATTCGACAGAGGTTCCAGACGGCACCAGTCTACCTGCAGACAGAGGGAATGGCAGCCTCTCCTATCTACAGACACCAGTCCAGGAGAACTCCTGTATTCGACAGGGGTTCCAGACGGCACCGGTCCAGCTCCCGACAGGAAATGGCAGCCTCTCACACCCGGAACCAGTCCAGGGTAACTCCTGTATTCGACGGGGGTTCCAGACGGCACCGGTCCAGCTCCCGACAGAGGGAATGGCAGCCTCTCCTATCCACAGACACCAGTCCAGGCGAACTCCTGTATTCAACAGGGGTTCCAGACGGCACCAGTCCAGCTCCCGACAGAGGGAATGGCAGCCTCTCACACCAGACACCAGTCCAGGGTAACTCCTGTATTCGACAGAGGTTCCAGTCGGCACCAGTCCAGCTCCCGGCAGAGGGAATGGCAGCCTCTCACACCAGACACCAGTCCAGGGTAACTCCTGTATTGGACATGGGTTCCAGTCGGCACCAGTCCAGCTCCCGACAGAGGGAATGGCAGCCTCTCCTATCTACAGACACCAGTCCAGGCGAACTCCTGTATTCGACAGGTTCCAGTCGGCACCAGTCTAGCTCCCGACAGAGGGAATGGCAGCCTCTCCTATCTACAGACACCAGTCCAGTGTGTGAGTGGGTGGGTGGGTGAGTGAGTGATTGGGTGAGTGGGTGGGTGGGTGACAGGATGAGTGGGTGGATGAGTGAGTGGGAGGGTGGGTGGATGGGTGGGTGAGTGAGTGGGTGAATGGGTGGGTGAGTGGGTGAGTGAGTGAGTGGGTGAGTGGGTGGGTGATTGGGTGAGTGGGTGGGTGACAGGGTGAGTGGGTGAGTGGGTAGGTGGGTCGTTGGGTGGATGAGTGGGTAAATGGGTGGGTGAGTGGGTGGGTGGGTGAGTGGGTAGGTGGATGAGTGAGGGGGTTAGTGGGTGAATAGGTGGGTGAGTGGTTGAGTGGGTAGGTGGGTGGGTGAGTGGGTGAGTGAGTGACAGGGTGAGTGAGTGGGTGGGTGAGTTGGTGAGTGAGTGGGTGGCTGACAGGGTGAGTGGGTTGGTGGGTGAGTGGGTAGGTGGGTGGGTGGGTGAGTGAGTGAGTGGGTTTGTGGGTGAATGGGTGCGTGAGTGGTTGGGTGGGTAGGTGGGTGGGTGAGTGGGTGGGTGAGTGACAGGGTGAGTGGGTGGGTGCGTGAGTAGGTGGGTGGGTAGGTGGGTGGGTGAGTGGGTGGGTTGGTGGGAGAGTAGGTTAGTGGGTGAATGGGTGGGTGAGTGGGTGGGTGAGTGGGTGGGTGAGTGGATGGGTGAGTGGGTGAGTGAGTGACAGGGTGAGTGAGTGGGTGGGTGAGTGAGTGAAGCCTTTAACAGACTAGGGGCAAGTGCTGTTAGCGAGCACCCCACCCACTCACTGTCACTAACCCACTCAACCACCCTGTCATTCACCCACCCACTAACTCACCCACCCACTCACCCATCCACTAACTCACCCACCCACTCACCCACCCACCCACTCACCCACCCACTAACTCACCCACCCACTAACTCACCCACCCACTCACTCATCCACCCACCCACTCACCCACTCACACACTCACTCACCCACCCACTCACCTACCCACCCACCCACTCACCCACCCACTCACCCACCCACCAACCCACCCACTAACCCACCCACCTACTCACCCACCCACTCACTCACCCACCCACCCACTCACCCACTCAATCACACTCACCCACCCACTCACCAACCAAACCACTCACCCACTCACTCACTCACCCGCTCACCCACTCACCCACTCAATTCACACGTTTGTCGTCTGGATAGTTTTATTCGCTCTGCCCAGTCCACGCGACAACTCGACGTTCAAAGCGACGTTCAAAACGACGTTCAAAGTGACGACGTTTCGGGAAAGGAGATCGGGCAGGCAGCGCTAACACGAACGTGAGGCTTAGAGGAGGAGAAGGGGGGTTAATGTGGGTGGTGGTTGTGGTGCCGGTTTGTGGTGGTGGTGAGTGTGGTGGTGATGGTGGTGGTGATGGTGGTTGTGGTGGTGGTTGTGGTGCTGGTTGTGGTGGTGGTGAGTGTGGTGATGGTTGTGGTGATGGTGGTGGTTGTGGTGATGGTTGTGGTGATCGTTGTGGTGATCGTTGTGGTGAGGGTAGTGGTGGTGGGGATGGTGGTGAGAGTGGTGGTTGTGGTAATGGTTGTGGTGGTGGTGAGTGTGGTGGTGGTTGTGGTGGTGGTGGTTGTGGTGATGGTTGTGGTGATGGTTGTGGTTAGGGTAGTGGTGGTGGGGATGGTGGTGGTGATGGTGGTGTTGATGGTGGTGGTTGTGGTGATGGTTGTGGTGATGGTTGTAGTGAGGGTGGTGGTGGTGGTGAGGGTGGTGGTGAGGGTGGTGGTGAGTGTGGTGATGATGGTGGTGAGGATGGTGAGGGTGGTGGTGAGTGTGGTGATGGTGGTGGTGAGGGTGCTGAGGGTGGTGGTGAGTGTGGTGATGGTTGTGGTGGTGGTGATGGTTGTGGTGATGGTAGTGGTGGTGAGTGTGGGGAGGGTGGTGGTGAGAGTGGTGGTGAGTGTGGTGGTGAGTGTGGTGAGGGTGGTGGTGAGTGTGGTGAGGGTGGTGGTGAGTGGTGGTGAGTGTGGTGGTGAGTGTGGTGAGTGTGGTGGTGGTGAGTGTGGTGGTGGTGAGTGTGGTGGTGAGTGTGGTGGTGAGTGTGGTGGAGAGTGTGGTGGAGAGTGTGGTGGAGAGTGTGGTGGAGAGTGTGGTGGAGAGTGTGGTGGTGAGTGTGGTGGTGAGTGTGGTGGTGAGTGTAGTAGTGAGGGTGGTGGTGAGTGTGGTGGTGAGTGTGGTGGTGAGTGTGGTGGTGAGTGTGGTGGTGAGGGTGGTGGTGAGTGTGGTGATGAGTGTGGTGATGAGTGTGGTGGTGAGTGTGGTGGTGAGTGTGGTGGTGAGTGTGGTGGTGAGTGTGGTGAGTGTGGTGGTGAGTGTGGTGGTGAGTGTGGTGGTGAGTGTGGTGGTGAGTGTGGTGGTGAGTGTGGTGAGGGTGGAAGCGGTTTCATAGAAAGCAAAACCGGTTGGGCGCGAAGCGACGCTAACCCCTAACCCACTGTAAATATCCATAGCCATCGTCATCGATGACGTCATCGATGACGTCATCGCCAACGTCATCGCCATCGATGACGTCATCGACGTCGTCATCGATGTCTTCATCATCATCGTCATCGACGTCATCGTCATAAATGTCACCATGGACATGGATGCCGTCATCAATGTCGTCATCAATGTCGTCATCAATGTCGTCATTCACTTTGATAAATATAAAACGAAAACAAAGAAACAGGAAGCGAAAAAACAAAACTGAATCCCTCTCTCGCCCGTCCGTAACCATCCATCAATAACCATCCATCAATAACCATCTATCAATGTCTACATCAATCAACAACCATCCATCAATCTCTAGATCAATCAACAACCATCCATCAATCCACAACCATCTATCAATAACCATCCATCAATCTCTACATCAATCAACAACCATCTATCAATGTCTAACCATCTATCAATCCCTCTCTCACCCGTCCGTAACCATCCATCAATAACCATCCATCAATCTCTACATCAATCAACAACCATCCATCAATCTCTAACCATCTATCAATGTCTACATCAATCAACAACCATCCATCAATCCACAACCATCCATCAATCAACAACCATCTATCAATGTCTAACCATCTATCAATCCCTCTCTCGCCCGTCTGTAACCATCCATCAATAACCATATATCAATGTCTACATCAATCAACAACCATCCATCAATCCACAACCATCCATCAATAATCATCCATCAATCTCTACATCAATCAACAACCATCCATCAATCAATAACCATCTATCAATCTCTACCTCAATCAACAACCATCCATCAATCCACAACCATCCATCAATCCACAACCATCCATCAATCTCTAACCATCTATCAATGTCTAACCATCTATCAATCTCTAACCATCTATCAATCTCTATCCATCTATCAATCTCTAACCATCTATCAATCTCTAACCATCTATCAATCTCTAACCATCTATCAATCCACAACCATCTATCAATCCACAACCATCCATCAATCAACAACCATCTATCAATCTCTCACCATCTATCAATCTCTAACCATCTATCAATCTCTAACCATCCATCAATCTCTCTATCAATCTCTAACCATCTATCAATCTCTAACCATCTATTAATCTATAACCATCTATCAATCTCTAACCATCTATCAATCCACAACCATCCATCAATCTCTAACCATCTATCAATCTCTACATCAATCAACAACCATCCATCAATCCACAACCATCCATCAATCAACAACCATCCATCAATCAACAACCATCTTTCAATGTCTAACCATCTATCAATCCACAACCATCCATCAATCTCTAACCATCTATCAATCTCTACATCACTCAAGAACCATCCATCAATCCACAACCATCCATCAATCAACAACCATCCATCAATCAACAACCATCTTTCAATGTCTAACCATCTATCAATCCACAACCATCTATCAATGTCTAACCATCTATCAATCCACAACCATCCATCAATCTCTAACCATCTATCAATCTCTAACCATCTATCAATCTCTAACCATCTATCAATCTCTCTATCAATCTCTAACAATCTATCAATCCACAACCATCTATCAATCTCTAACCATCTATCAATGTCGAATCATCTTTCAATCTCTAACCATCTATAAATCTCTAAACATCTATCAATCTCTAACCATCTATCAATCTCTAACCATCTATCAATCTCTCTATCAATGTCTAACCATCTATACATCTCTAACCATCTATCAATCTCTAACCATCTATCAATCTCTAACCATCTATCAATCCATACACCATCCATCAATCTCTAAACATCTATCAATCTCTAACTATCTATCAATCTCTAACCATCTATCAATCTCTATCCATCTATCAATCTCTAACCATCTATCAATCTCTAACCATCTATCAATCTCTATCCATCTATCAATCTCTAACCATCTATCAATCTCTAACCATCCATCAATCTCTAACCATCCATCAATCTCTAACCATCTATCAATCTCTCTATCAATGTCTAACCATCTATCAATCCACAACCATCTATCAATCTCTAACTATCTATCAATCTCTAACCATCTATCAATCTCTCACCATCTTTCAATCTCTAATCATCTATCAATCTCTAACATCCATCAATCTCTCTATCAATCTCTAACCATCTATCAATCTCTAACCATCTATCAATCTCTAACCATCTATCAATCTCTAACCATCTATCAATCTCTAATCATCTATCAATCTCTAACCATCTATCAATCTCTATCCATCTATCAATCTCTAACCATCTATCAATCTCTAACCATCCATCAATCTCTAACCATCCATCAATCTCTAACCATCTATCAATCTCTCTATCAATGTCTAACCATCTATCAATCCACAACCATCTATCAATCTCTAACTATCTATCAATCTCTAACCATCTATCAATCTCTCACCATCTTTCAATCTCTAATCATCTATCAATCTCTAACATCCATCAATCTCTCTATCAATCTCTAACCATCTATCAATCTCTAACCATCTATCAATCTCTAACCATCTATCAATCTCTAACCATCTATCAATCTCTAATCATCTATCAATCTCTAACCATCTATCAATCTCTAACCATCTATCAATCTCTAACCATTGATAGAGATAGTGATAGAGAGATTGATAGAGAGATTGAGAGATATATTGATAGATTGATATAGAGATGAATATAGATTTATAGAGAGATGGATAGAGATATTGATAGAGATGGATAGAGATATTGATAGATAGATTTATAGAGATCGATAGAGATATTGACAGAGAGATCGATAGAGATATTGACAGAGAGTTCGATAGAGAGATTGACAGAGAGATGGATAGAGATCGATAGGGAGATTGATAGAGACATTGATAGAGATATTGACAGAGAGATCGATATAGATATTGATAGATAGATTGATAGAGAGATGGATAGAGATATTGATAGAGATTGATAGAGAGATGGATAGAGAGATGGATAGAGAGATCGATAGAGATATTGAAAGAGAGATTGATAGAGATATTGAAAGAGAGATTGATAGAGAGATCGTTAGAGAGATTGATAGAGATATGATAGAGATTGATAGAGATATTGATAGAGAGATTGATAGAGAGATTGATAGAGATATTGATAGAGACATTGAAAGAGACATTGATAGAGATATTGATAGATACATTGATAGAGACGTTGATAGATAGATAGACACATTGATAGATATTGATAGAGAGATCGATAGAGACATTGATAGATAGATAAACAAATTGATAGAGATATTGATAGAGAGATTGATAGAGAGATGGCTAAAGAGATTGATAGAGAGATGGCTAAAGAGATTGATAGAGAGATGGATAAAGAGATTGATAGAGATGGATAAAGAGATTGATAAAGATTGATGGAGATATTGATAGATTGAAAAATAGATTGATAGAGAGATTGATAAAGAGATTGATGGAGAGATTGAGATATTGATAGAGATAATTATAGAGATATGGATAGAGAGATCGATAGAGATTGATAGAGAGATCGATAGAGATATTGATAGATTGATAGAGACATTGATAGAGATATTGATAGATAGATAGAGACATTGATAGAGATATTGATAGAGAGATAGAGACATTGATAGAGATATTGATAGAGAGATCGATAGAGACATTGATAGATAGATACATTGATAGAGATATTGATAGAGATTGATAGATTAGAGATATTGATAGAGATATTGATAGAGAGATTGATAGAGAGATTGATAGAGCGATGGACAGAGAGATTGATAGAGAGATTGATAGAGATATTGATAGAGAGATTGATAGAGACATTGATAGAGATTGATAAGAGATATTGATAGAGAGATTGATAGAGATGGATAGAGAGATTGATAGAGATGGATAGATAGATAGAGACATTGATAGAGACATTTATAGAGAGATTGATAAGAGATATTGATAGAGAGATTGATAGAGACATTGATAGAGATTGATAAGAGATATTGATAGAGAGATTGATAGAGATGGATAGAGAGATTGATAGAGATGGATAGAGAGATGGATAGAGATATTGATAGAGACATTGATAGAGATATTGATAGACTAATAGAGACATTGATAGATAGAGATATCATCGACAGAGAGACGGACAGACCCACGGCCCTGCGGGTGTTCCCGCACGTAGCCGCCCGCTCTCGCTCCACACCTCGCCAGGAGCGCCACGACGTGCCTCAGAAGCTGCGCGGCGCGGGGGGGAAAAAGTAAAAAAATAAAAACTCGTCAAGGAACGGCGCCAGTCCCATCAGAGGCGGTCCCTCGCGCTATGTACACCGGAAGCCGGGCGGTGGCGGCGGTGGCGGTCTCGGCTACCGTGCGCCTCAGATTCCGCTATTGAGCGGAGCTACCAGGCCAACGAACAACAACAACAACAACAACCGCCACCACCGCCTCAGCCGCCTCAGCCGCCGCATGACAACTCTCCCCGCCAGCAATGTACACGAAATGCGTCTTCGCCAGCGCCACCTATTTACACGCGCCACCTCGTAGCCCCAACCCCACCCCCGACCCACCATCGTCCCCTATAGCCGTGCACCCTATAAGCCGGACCCCCCATATCCGCCTTCTCGGCCCCGTCCGCTATAGCGGGCCCCCCCCCCCCCTTCCCTCCCTGCCCCCCGTGTGTCTGTGAGCGGGCCGTGCGGATTAACTTTTAAACGCGCTGTACACCCCCCGCAGCCGCTCCTCATCCCCCCCCTCAAACCCCTCCACCCGCATAGCTGCCCCTGCAACGGCACCTTACCCACCCCCAGGCCCCAGCCCGCCGCTGCCCGCCCTCAGAAAAAAAAAGACAAAACAACAACAACAACAACCGTCGGGAGCGGTCGAGGCAACAACGTCCGGGGCTTCCGGGCCGGGAGGAGGGGTAAGAGAGCGCCGGAGGACTCTGGAAAATTCTGGAGGATTC